GAAGATACCAGCACCTGGTTTAAGGACCATGGTATCCCTGTTCTTAACTGGCCAACAAACTCTCCTGAACTAAACCCCATAGAAAATCTATGAGTTATTGTGAAGAGGAAGATGTGACACACCAGAGCCAACAATTCAGAAGAGCTGAAGGCCACGATCAGAACAACCTGGACTCTCAGAACACCTGAGCAGAGACACAGACTGATCCACTCCATGACACGACGCATTGATGCAGTGATCCAGACACAAGGAGCAACAACTAAGTACTGATGCTGCACAGGATCATACTTTATGTTCATACTTTTCATGATCATACTTTATGTTCGTACTTTGTGTTCATACTTTTCATGTTTGTACTTTATGTTCATACTTTTCATGTTCATACTTTAAAGTTGGCCAACATTTCCAAAAATCCTTTTTTTATTTGGTCTTAATATTCTAATTTTCTGAGATACTGAATTTGGGGTTTTCATTAGTTGTCAGTTATAATCATCAACATTAAAATAAATAAACATTTGAAATATATCAGTCTGTGTGTAATGAATGAATATAATCTACAAGTTTCACTTTTTGAATGGAATTACTGAAATAAATCAACTTTTTCATGATATTTTAATTTTATGACCAGCACCTGTACCATAAATCAAGACCAGCACCTTAAATCTTTATTTTGAGCTTTTTTCCAGTCACATGGTTGAAGTGGGCATACATTAGTCTTGCCGCTGACTGATCACTGAACATTGTTTCATTTCAATATGTACTTGTACATACAGTGTTTTCTGACATAGTGCTAAGCTAGCAGCGTGCAAAACAGGCGCTCTAGCTAGAAAGCTAAAGGAGTCTCTTCTCTCATGCTGACCCCCCCCCCCCCCCCGTCCTGCCCTCGCCCAAAAACTGTTGGTACAAGCTGTGCTCAGACATGTCTCCGTCCCCCCATCAACAAAAGTCATGGATGAGATTAGCACACCGCCATGGCAAGTTAACTAAGGGGAACACTGACATAGCTGAAATGACAATAACAGCTCTCTGACTCTGACACGCTATGTGAATAGCAAACTCCTCCCACCCAGAGTCCCACTTTCTCAGGCAGGCAACAAACAAGGCGTAGCTACTACCTGACAAGTTACCAAACAGTGCAACCACACCATTTCCCCATTTTAAAACATCCATCCATTCATCCATCATCTTTACCCGTTTCTTCCATTTTGGGTCACGGGGGTCGCCGGTGCCCATGTCCAGCGATCACTGTGGGGTCTGGAGCCACATGCGGCTCTTTCAAGCTTTGACCAAAACTGACATAAAACTGAAATGTATTGGTTGTTATACAAACAACTAAAGGATTTGGTCTGAAAGTTTTCTTGACATTTTTTTGTTGCAAATATGTGAACACTGAACGAGTACAAGGAGTAAAGCATACTTTAACTTTATGCCTTATTACTTTATATGAGGAACTGTCTGCATCCATCCATCATCTTTACCTGCTTTTTCCTTTCAGGTCACGGGGTCACTGGTGCCCATTTCCAGCAGTCACTGTGCGAGGGGCGAGGACACCCTGGACAGGTCTCCAGTCCGTCACAGGGACACATAGAGACAAACAAGACAAACAACCATTCACTCTCTCACTCACACCTAGAGACAGTTTAGAGTTACCATCAGTCTAACATGCATGTTTTTGATCTGTGGGAGGAAACTCACACATGCACAGAGACAACATGCAAACTCCACCCAGAAAGGCTCCCGGACCGGAATTTGAACCGGGGACCTGCTCACCGAGAGGCAGCAGCTCTACCAGTCAACAAGATCTAATTCTTCTCAATTAAATTGAATGATGTTGTCCACACCAACACCACCAAGTCATCCAACAAGAGTAACATGATTAAAAAATTTATATAAAAATAGGGAATGTCAGGGGATTTTTGGTCAAGGTCAAGAATATTTATCACTAACTAATATTAAATTCATGTTGAAACATGCGTGTGAGTTCAGAGAGTTATTTTCTCTCTCAGAGAGGTGCTGATTTGATCCTGCATGTACAGCTGGGAGGCCGAGGTCATCATGGACTGTCTGTGAGCTATAATGGCCAATAAGAGAGTATTATATAAACTATTCTCACACACTGTCCGGTGCAGATTCTTGTGACCGGGCTTCAATGAGGCATCTGTGTAAGCCTGCGAGTGTGTCTGCCCTTAAAGTAAAAACCGGTTACATTTTATCTTCTCGTGTCCTCCAGCGTGGCTTCTTTGAGTAATATACAGCAGATGAATGGAGGATATTTTTATCCCACAGAATAAACACGCTGTTGGGATGAAAGTGAAGTTGTTTTCCATCAAGTCTACATTTAAGGAGGTGATGATGCTGCAGAATCTGATCCAAACTTTCCTGTGTAGAGTTCCAGGCGACAGGACCAGCATCACTGCCAGCTCAGTTTTCTACTTAGCACAGCCTCTTTCAGTCCATCTCAGGTCAGCACAGCGTGGGGCATTTGTCTTTTATCCTCACTACCATCATTTTGAATCTGTTCTATCTTTTTTAATTCAATTCAGTTTATTTATGTAGCACCAATTCACAACAAAGTTGTCTCAGGGAACTTTACAGGAACATTCACATACATAAAAGCCAATGAGTAAACGTCTCTATCTAAATCTTTTAGTGATTGAATATGTGACACAAGTTCTTTATGGTACTAAATTTAAAATCCCACTATCATCCTTAAAGTCTGCCAGTACTCACGTTTAGATGTTGATCTAAATGTCAACATCTTAAATAACAATTTTTAATTCTAAACAAATTATTATTTTTTTATCAATTTATCTTTAAAAAATATCTTGACACAATATTTATTCATAACTTTTTAATTCACTCGTATATCTCTGCATATGAAATGAGAAATACGCCTGGAAACAAAACCATCTTGAGTGCACACTTAAAAGAGTTTGTACTTTCTGTCTGACTTAAATTAACTTTCTAATTAAATTACTGTTTTCTGAAACATTCCTCTTGTTCTGATTGTAGCAACGTTCTTCCTGTAAAAACGTTTCTTATTCTTTTTGCTAATAATACAACTCTGCTCTTTATGAATAAAGTCTCGGAGTGAGTAGATTTTTAATAAGGATTTGCTCAATCAATGTATTTTATGTTAATTTGACTTCATAGTAAACTGTTCAGATTTCTAAAGACAAACTGTGTCACAAGCAACAAATCAAAACCATTTTTTCAGCCTGAAAACAAAGAATTTCTAGTGTTTTCTGAATAAATTAAATGTTCAAATCAAAAACTGGGATAAGTTTCTGCCTGGGGAGCATCCTACAAACATTTAGAGCGTCATGAACCCATCTTTAAACTCCTTTAAAATCTCCTGCAGTAGACAATCCACACTGAACAACCCAACTCACCTGCTTTTTATCTTGCGTCTCCATGGCAACCCCGGGTACTCCACATGCTCTGCTCTTTGAGCCGTCACCTGACGGAGGCGTGGCAGTGGACGCTCCACACGTTAGACTCTCCCTCTGGGCTCACCGCCTTCAGAAGCTACATCAGGTACACCGGATCAGGCCCAAGGAAGCTGGACGTCCCCAACCTGACAACAGCTCCTGCGTGAATATAATGCACCTGCACCTGGGGGGGGCAGCAAAGAGGCCGGAGCAGGAGCCTCTGGGAAATTATTGAGTGCTCAGGTGCTGCACAGATATTCCTTTCTTAACACCCATATAGAAGCCTGTGGACAAAACATAAATAAAAAAACAATAATGAGATCAAATGTCACGTTTTCATTCAACATTTATATAGCCATTCTGAAAAATGATGGGGGGGGGGGGGAGCAGAAAGAGGGGAAGCTGTAAGTAGCTATGTTTACATGCGCAGAATTCTCTGACCGGATTGAAATGTGTTCTGTTTGAATAATTCAAATGTGTTGTTTACATGGGCACAATCTGTTCATGATGAGCGTTTACATGCAGCGGGCTTTGTTCTGAACAGCAGTACTGACATGCGCAGTGTGGTAAACTCTCCTTAAAAAAACCACCGAAGAAGAAGTTCTACTTCCGGGTGAACGTAAACAAACCTGAGCACCCAAAATGGACCCGCGACAGGTTTTAATGATGGTGGAGACGTTACTGCACTCCCTGACTGAGCTACAGGTGACACAGATCATTTTGAGCTCTTTAAAAGTTTCTAGTAGAAATGTTGTCGCTCACCGACCAGTTCTGCTTCCCTGACATGCTAATATTATTAGCGTTAGCCAGGCGGAAATGACATAGGTCGCACATGCGCAGTCAGGTCAGTTTTTCACCATCAGATAAAAACGAACAGATCAAGTGTTTACATGCGCACCGATCGGGTTTCGGATCGGCGTAAACCACCCGTTTCGTTCTGATCACAAATTATATCGGATCGCGCCGAATACACAAAAAATAACCCGAACGGAGCGTTTACATGACACACTTTTATTCCGACCGGCCATTTGATCCAGTTACTTGTGTCCATGTAAACATACCCAGTGTTAGCACACACCGTTGAAAAGAAAACCCAGAATTTACCGACACCAGACCAGAGCCACTCACACAGGCAGCGCAGCAGAACCCCCGAGTCAGCAGTCTCTGTTGATGATGCTCAGGCCAACAAAGGGGGGGGGGGGGGGGGTATAAGAGGGCCAAGTCTGAGATTCAGAACTCTTTCTCCTTGTTCAGGTGTGTAACACAAGTAACAGATGTTAAATAAAACTATGCCTTGTAGCATTCACACAACTACACAAATTGCATTTCCTGCAAAAATGCAGTGAATGATTATTGATGAAGTACTTGCTGAAAAACAGCTGAAATTAGCTAAAAAAAACATGTTGAAATGTAGCTGAAATGGGTGAACACGCTTAAGTTAGCAGAAGACATCAGAAAGAACACATATTGGCTGAGTTTGGTTTAAATAAGCAGAAACTTGCGTAAGTGATTTGTGACAGTGCACGGTAAAAATATAAACAAAAATCTTGTGCAACCTGTTTGCAGTCAGAATAAGTGTTGGGGACGGCCTTCAGCTGTGACTACATTTAAAATGTAGAACAATATCTGAAAAAAAAAAGAGTTTATAGCCATTTTTATATTTTGGTCCATCAGTCATCTTAAATCAGGCTGACTTTGTGAAAATTTAAATTGTTCCAGGTGTTTCTAATAAATTCTGATAACAGACAAACACAGACATGAACATAATCATTTCCCATTGCCTTCTGGTGACAGGTGATGAATAAATAAATACATAAATAAATAAACAATGTGTGAATGGCTGCTCAAAGAAAAGACTCAACTTCAAGAGCTAATGGAGAAGAAACACTGAACGAGGTTTTATGTCACGTAGGTGAACAACACCCTCAGACTTGAAACATTTTTTCTGAACTAGACAATAATACGACGCTGGACCAAAATGATTCGAGTACCCGTGGTTTAAAAGTAGCAGAAAGGCAGAAGTTAAAAAATCTTATAACAGCAAACCTTCACAGCTGCTACAAACGGAGCCAACCAGGACATTTACTACTTTGAGGAGTTGATGAAGGAAATGAGAAAGAAAAGATGAAAGAAAGATCAAAGGTAGTGAAACAGGAAGTGCAGAGGATTCGTGTGGAGGAAGTGGAGGAAGTGGAGGCAGCTACGAAAAGACAAAACATGACAAGGCAGCGTGAAAGGTATGGAGATGTCTAGGAGAAAGGGAAGTGAGTTCACAAACAGATTATTTAGGATAATTGTGTACAAAAGTGTACTGGTACCAGTTTTCAAAAAGCAAGAGCGGTGTGCAGAGCTGTGGTGATACAGGGATACAGCTGCTGAGCACAGTCCTGACGGTGCGGGGAAGAGTTGCTGAAGTCAGCTGACGAGCAGAGCAAGGGGACGATCAGAGAGCAGCAGAGACAGAAACACCACGTTAGCTTTGACAAAATCACATGTGGTGTGAAGCAGATGAAGAGTCTGTGGTCGAGAGAAAGCTTCAGCTGTGGTGGCAGAACAAGCCGGAGCAGGGAGGACAGACACGAGGACAGAGAGAGGTGAGATTTGCAGCAGGAGAAACACATGGTTTCAAGGTGTTGTGTGTGTGTGGGGGGGGGGGGGCTGTATCAAGCATCAACTATGAGCCCCTTGTTGTTTCCAGTGGTGATGGACAGCCTAACAGATGAGGTCAGGCAGGAGCCCTGTGATGTTTGCACATGACACTGTGCTCTGTAGTGAGGGTAGGGAGCAGGTGGATAAGAGCTAAGAGAGGTGGAGGCTGGTAAACAGGTGAAGGACAGAGGTAATGAAGGTGGATGAGTTTAAATAACGAGGGTCAACCATCAGAAGCAGTGAGCAGGACACAAATGAGGTGAAGAGAGAGAGCAGGCAGGGTGGAGTGGACAAAGACAAGTGTCATGGGTGAGTATGAGACAGAAGGACAGCTGTGAGAGTGAAGCACTACAAGATAATAGTGAGGACCACTAACAGATGGTTTGGAGTGGTGGATGGCACTAACAAAATGGACAGGAGGCAGAGCTACAGGTAGCAGAGATGAAGATATTCAAATGTCCCTTTGGACTAACCACAATGGACAGTTCAGGTTTGGAGACAAAATTAGAGAAGCTGAGATGCAGTGGTGGGATGTAACTAAGTACAAGTACTTTGTTACTGTACTTAAATACATTTTTCATGTATCTGTACTTTATTTAAGTAGAGTTAAACGTGGGCACTTTATACTTTCACTCCACTATATTTTACATCAAGTATCTGTACTTTCTACTACACTACATTTCTATAATGCGTTGCGTTACAAGTTACATTCATGTTGCAGCTTTTTGATTTGTTTGTTACTTTGAAAGTAACCGATGGTGAGAGGGGAGTTGATCCACTGAATCACTGTAAAGTGGGCAGGTAACGTTAGGCCCGTCTTCAAGAAGAACTGGACCAATGACATATATTCTAGTATGTATGTCACTGAGCTGGGTGCACCCGCAGCACCACTAACACACCCAGAATGTATTCCACCACAAGAGAGTCAGCCAGAAGATACACACCACCCATGGCCTTATTGAAAGATTATTGAAAGATTATTGAAAGATTATTGAAAGACAGTTCAGTACAACAGGACAGATTCTCTCTCCCAAAAGAGCCAGACTGGACTCAAAAATCTTTGAAAACCAACTTCTTCTGAACTTGAACAAGAAATTCTTGCTGCAATATTAAAATGAGTCAGTTCATGGGATGTTAGGAGACAAGAGATGTCTCCAAATGACTCGACACTCGGGTCCAAGTTTTAAAAATGGTGTCAGGAAGTTAAAATATTGTTCAATATTGACCCATTACAAGGTTGAATAGACAGTACTTTAACTAGAGTTGATGACAAACTGGAGTTGAACTGATCAGAGTCTGTTCCTTTGTTAGTTGTGTCTAATGCTCCTTTTGTTCAGGCAGACAACTTTTACTTAAACATGTTTCCTTCAGTTAAAATGACACATTGGTTTTGTGTTAAATAAAAACTTTCAAAGGTATACAACATTTTTCAGTCAGGTCATCTGGACAGTTTCTTTTTTTGTGCTGAAACGTTTCGCCTTCAATCCAGAAGGCTTCATCAGTCAAGGAAACACACAACAGAACTGATTCTTCCGCCAACAGCTTACTCCAAAGTGGAACAAACCAGTTCTGCTTGTGATAAGATGGTCTCTTTGGTACGCCCCTCCTTCATTGCCGGCCCTCTTCATTGTTGAGAGTCTTGTCAAACTGGTTGAAAACAACAAAGTCCATGCTCAATAATCCATCTTATCACAAGCAGAACTGGTTTGTTCCACTTTGGAGTAAGTTGTTGGGGGAAGAATCAGATTTGTTGTGTGTTTCCTTGACTGATGAAGCCTTCTGGATTGAAGGCGAAACATTTCAGCACAAAAAAAGAAACTGTACAGATGACCTGACTGAAAAATGTTGGATTATATACCTGGATTATTGAGCATGGACTTTGTTGTTTTCAAAGGTATAATCATTCCTCTTTCTTATTTTGCTTAATGACATTTAACTCTGCAGGTCATCCCTGAAATTCTGACGCACAGAACCACAAGTCCAACTGTGTCACAGAGTAAACACAATAAAAACATGTATTATCTGCAGCATCGTTCACTAAAATGGAACAACACTAATAATGTATTACACAAAATATACATATGGTAGGTACACTTAATGATACTGTAGCCTACTGCATTAAGTAATACATTCAACAAGTACTTTTACTTTAATACTTTAAGTATTTTTAACAGCAAGTACTTATTTACTTTTACTTAAGTAAAAATGTTAATGTGGTACTTCTACTTTTACTAGAGTACATTTCTGTCTGTTTATTTGTACTTTTACTCAAGTACAGTGTTTGAGTACTTCCTCCACCACTGCTGAGATGGTCTGGACAAATGCAGAGGAGGGAC